AGGCAAATCACTAAAATTCGAGATATTATGGCCCTGCAGTTAAGTTTGTCAAGAGAACTAATTCATTTTAGTCACATCAACGCTACATGTGTATTTATCAAATATACACATGAGCGTTATATGACAATGAATCATGTTAATTAAAGATGTCAGAGAGCATTCAAATTTTCAAATTACTGACCAAATATAAAGTACTATTTTCCTCCTAGAACTTGTATGTGGGATTCTCACCCATGTTCAGAGGAGAAATCCCAAAGTCCCCTTTTCTTAAGCTATGACAGTTTCACATGGGTGCTTTTTATTTTTAAAGAACATTCGAGAATGTCTCTTGCTTGTTCCTCTCCAACCCTGTGACAGTGACACAGTGGGAAGTGTAGCCACATCTTGGGTATGATGTGGACAGAATGTGAGCGGTATGGGATACTCGTGTTGGTCCTGAGGAGAACAGACTGGCCCTTATGTTGAGTTAACACAAGGTCCAAGCTGTGGTTGTCAGCCTTAGTGCCTTCTGGGCTTTTGCAGCCCCCTCTTCGTGTGTTGCATAGGCTTTTATTTTATTTTATTTTATTTTTTGAGTCGGAGTCTCACTCTGTCACCCAGGCTTGAGTGCAGTGGCATGCTCACAGCAACTCCAGCCTCAACCTGCTGGGCTCAGGTGATCCTTCTGTCTCAGCCTTCCAAGTAGCTGTAACTACAGGTATGTGCCACCATACCCAGATAATTTTTTTTCTTTAGTTGGAGTCTCACTTTATCGCCCAGGCTGGAGTGCAGTGGCACACTCACAGTCATCACAGCCTCAACCTGCTGGGCTCAGGTGATCCTTCTGTCTCAGCCTTCCAAGTAGCTGGAACTACAGGCGTGTGCCACCATGCCTGACTAAATTTTTATTTATTGTAGAAATGAGGTCTCACCAAGTTGCCCATGCTGATCTCAAACCTACAGGCTCAGGCAATCCACTCGCCTCGACTTTCCAAACAGGCTGAGCCACCAGTCCCGGCCTTTTTCTTCTTCTTCTTCTTCTTTAATTTTTATTGTAAAGATAGGTCTTGCCAAGTTGCCCAGACTGGTCTCTGACTCATGGGTTCAGGCAATCCTCTCACCTTGGCCTCCCAAAGTGCTGGGATTATAGGCATGAGTCACCGTGCCCAGCCACCCTCTGGAGATTTTTTTTTTTTTTTGAGTTGGAGTCTCACTCTGTCGCCCAGACTGGAGTGCAGTGGCCGCTCCCAGTCACCGCAGCCTCGACATGCTGGGCTCCGGCGATCCTTCCGCCTCAGCCTTCCAAGTAGCTGGAACTACAGGTGCGAGCTACCACGCCTCACTAATTTTTGATGTATTGTGGAGATGAGGTCTCGCCTGTTGCCCAGGCAGGTCTCGAACCCGCGGGCTCAGGCAATCCACTCACCTCAGCCTCCCAAAGCACTGGAATTACAGGTTGAGCCACAGAGCCTGCCTTGGAGATTTTTAAAAACACTAAAATCTGATTTGAGGGTGATTAAAACACCCTAGATCTAGATCACACAACACTGTAAGTGTACTAAATGCTACTGAACTGGATACTTTAAAATGGTAAAAATGATGAATTTTACGTTGTTTTGCCACTATTTAAAAACAAAAAAAAACACTAAAGTCTGAGAAGCACTAGAGCCCAGTGTTTCTGAAAATTTGACCAATCATCAGAACCCCCTGGAAAACTTTTTAAAGCCTAGATGTAACGGATCAGAACCTCTGGGGTTTGGGACTCAAAATCTGCATGTCCTTTTTTAATTGCCAAGTGAATCTACTAACCAGTAAGGTTTGGGAGACCCAGAACAAGGAAGAAGAGGCTAACAGTCTTCCAGTGGTTGGCAACAGTCAGGGAGGACAAGGAGTAGCTATGTTCTGAGCTGCTCCAGCAATCAGAACTAACACCATGAACTAACATTATTTCAGCCAGAACTGAAATGACCAGGGCGCCGATTTTAGCCTGAGAACTCCCCTGTAGCCAAAGGAAGCACCAATAAAATGGACTTTGTCTCCCGCAATAGGAGATGCTTCACCAGCTGGGGCACGCAAAGGGAGACTGGATGTCCATCTAGGCTCCTGGGAGGAATCTTGCAGCAGTAAAAGATTAGAGAGAAACTCCAAAGTCCCTCTCAACTTTCAGATTCTGTGATTCTCAGCGTCCCACTTGCTGCTGTCTGGCTCCCCCCACCCACAGAGGCCAGCCCCGCTCCCACCTAGAAATGCTGCAGACCTGTCAAAGGAAGGCTTCAGTGCACCATGGATGATTTGAGCAAGACCCTCCCAGATCTCAGCTTTGGGCCTGGAGGGAACTTGGAGCTTTGGCCTAGGGTGGGGTTGACTTTTTCTAGGTATCACACCAGAACTGTCCAACTACTCTCTAGAACTTTCTGCAATAATGAAGACGCTCAATATCTGCACTGTCCAGTAAGGTAGCCAGTAGCCACTATGTGGATATTGAGCACTTGAAATGTGACAAGTGCAACTTAAGAATTGAAGTTTTCATTTTATTTAGCTATAATTAATTTTAGTTTTAAAAGCCACTAATAACCAGTGGCTGCCATATTGAACAGGGCAGTTCTAGAGAACCTTGGACCAGAACTGATCTTTAGACTTAGCCCAGAACTGCTGAAGGCTGGAACCTTCTCTGTGGAGCTGAACTGGTCCCAAAGCAACCTCTGAAAGTCAGGACACAGACCTGACACTCAACAGGCCCATTCGCCCCTAGGTCCATTGCTACAACCAGAGCAAGAATCAAGGAGCCAGTCAGTTCAGAGGATTTCTGTTGCAGGAGCCCCTGCCTTAATTTTAAAAGGAGCTTATTGCTGGGCACGGTGGCTCGCACCTGTAATCCCAGCACTTTGGGAGGTGGAGGTGAGAAGATTGCCTGAGCTCAGGTGTTCGAGACCAGCCTAAGCAACATGGCGATACCTCGTCTCTACAACAAATCAAAAAATTAGCCGGGCATAGTGGCACACGCCTTTAGTTCCAGCTACTTGGAAGTCTGAGACAAGGATCCCCTGAGCCCAGTAGGTCAAGGCTGCGGTGGCCTTAAGCACGTGCCCCTGCACTTCAGCCTGGGCTACACAGTGAGACTCTAACTCCAAAAAAAAAAAAAAGCTTATTTGAGATTCCTGAGATGCCAAGGACACCTAAAGAAAGGATCTGTTGCCCTGCCTCTTGATCAGATAAGAGGCAAACCAAATAAGAGGCATTTCTTTTTTCCTTTCTTTTGTCTTTTGCTTCCTTAGAACCATAGGTAAGCACACAATCACCATGGGAGAGATTCTGAAAGCCAGGCCTGGTTGACCAAGGGAGGCTCCTCCCCCTCTCTGATTACAGCTGAGTAGTTCAGGGAAATGGACCTTAACTCCCGTGGGGTCTACTGGATTAGGTAGAAGATACATTAATACCTAATTACCACGGTCCTCACAAACCAACAATGGTAATTTTTCTGAACTCTTCTCAACTAATGCCCTGCCCTTTAGGATCTCTTTTCTCTTTGGAAAGCTTGTCCTCTTGGGCATGATGGATGGCACAAAATAGCTCACCCCTGCCCCTATCTTCACCTCTTACCCCACAGCCTGCAATGCAGACAGGCAAAATATTTGAACATTGATTAAATAAGTAAATCTCAAAGGTAGTGTTTGTGCCTAGAGGCGCAACAGACCTGACTTTGCAACCTAAACCTAAGCTTATTCCTGACTGTGGAGCAAGCACGTTCACTAGAGTAAAAAAGAAAAAAAAAACAACACTTTCTTTAACCACCCTGTTTCCCAAGCCCAGGATCTGGAGCCAGCCTGCCTGGATTCAATTTCTTACTCTGCCCAGTATTTGCTATGTGACCTTGAATAAGTCTCTTAATGTCTTTAAGCCTCAGTTTCTTTCTTTCTTTCTTTTGAGTTGGAGTCTCACTCTGTTGCCCAGGCTGCAGTGCAGTGGCACACTCTGCCACCGCAGCCTCGACCTGTTAGACTCAGGAGTCCATCCGCATCAGCTTTTCAAGTAGCTGGAACTATAGACACATGCCATCACGCCCAGCTAATTTTTGTGATTTATTGTAGAGACAAGGCCTCACCAAGTTGCCCAGGCTGGTCTCCAACCCCTAGGCTCAGGCAATCCTCTCGCCTTGGCCTCCCAAAATGCTGAGATTACAGGCTGAGCCACCACACCCGGCCTCAGTTTCTTCGTGTGTAAAATGGAACCAACATCTATACCTCTTCATGAGGTGGTTGTACGAATTAAATGGGATAATTCACAAAACACATTCAGTAGTAATATATGGCCTGGTATATAATAAAGATTCAATCAGCTATAATTAGTAGTATTAGTACATTCAGTTTAGAATACCTTTGACACATATTTGAAATAAAAGTTTTGCCAAGCTTAGGGGTTCATGCCTTTAATCCCAGCACTTTGGGAGGCAGAGGCAAGAGGATTGCCTGAGTCCAGGGGTTCGAGACAAACCTGGGCAACTTAGCCAGACCTTGTCTCTACGATAAATCAAAAAATTAGCCAGGCAAGATAGCATGCACCTGTAGTTCCAGCTACTTGGAAGACTGAGGCAGAAGGATCACCTGAACCCAGCAGATCGCAGCTGCGGTGGCCATGAGCATGTGCCACTGCATTCCTGCCTGGACAACAGAGTGAGACTCCAACTCAAAAAAGTTTCAACTATACAAAAGAAGCCTGTGTCATTATGTCATGTCCATCCACAGTTCTTTGAACTAGCAAAGTATCATAAATAAATAGCTACCAAATATCTAATTTTTTCTCACTTCCATTTCTAGGTCATGAAGGTCGAATTGGCATGGCCTCCGTCAAGATGAAAGAAAATCGTGAATTTGATGGAAAGAAACTCTTTCAGCACACTGCTGATTATCTGCCTAGTTATGCAAGGCCTCGGTTTGTAAGAATACAGGTAAGAACTCTTATTATCAGATTCATTTATCTTCTCTCTTGGAAATCCCTGTCTCTGGAGAACAATTCCAAATTTTCGCTACCCTTTTCAGAGAGCTCAGAAAAAAGAGGCCGGGCACAGTGGCTCACACCTGTAATTCCAGCATTTTGGGAGATCATGGCAGGAGGATCTCCTGAGCCTTGGGTTTCAAGACCAGCCTGGACAATATACTCAGACTCCCATCCCTACAAAAAAATTAGCCGGGCATGGTGGTGCATGCCAGTAGTCTCAGTTTACTCAGGAGACTGAGGCTGGAGGATCATCTAAACCTGGGAGTTTGAAGTCGCAGTGAGCTATGATTGAGCCACTGCACTCCAGCCTGGGCAGCAGAGCAAGACTCTGTCTCTTTAAAAAAAAAAAAAGGAAAGAAAGAAAGGTTTTTGGCCGGGCTCAGTGGCTCAGCCTGTAATTCTAGCACTTTGGGAGGCCGAGGCAAGTGGATTGCCTGAGCCTGCAGGTTCAAGATCAGCACAGGCAACTTGCAAGACCTCATCTCTACAATAAATAAATAAACAAAAATTAGCCGGGCATGGTAGTACACATCTGTAGTTCCAGCTACTTGGAAGGCTGAGATAGAAGGATCGCCTAGGCCCAGCAGGTCAAGGCTGTGGTGTCCATGAATGTACCTCTGCACTCCAGCCTGGGTAATGGAGTGAGACTCCAACTCAAAGAAAAAAAAAATTTTTTTAAGTGTCATGGATCAATAAGGGAGTAGAAATATCAGAAAATATAGCTAGCAGAAACCCAATCCTAATCCCTTTTCCCTAAAATGACAGGCCAGTTCATTCAGCAGCAGTCTTAGCAGAGAACTCACAAAGTCTGAATTTCATGAGGTGTGACAGACACTTCAAATTTCAGAAATGCTCTGACCCTCCTATTTGTTGCTTCTAGTCTTAAAGAATGGAAAAATCCACTGAAGATCTATACCTCTCTGTAGTATGAAATTTAGCTGGAACTACTGAGACTTAACTATCACCACTAGAGGGATTTTTTTTCTTCCTCAAACATTAATCCTTAGCCCTCTCACTTTTGGACTTTGACCTCTGTGATTCCATAAATAAAGACGGGAAAAGCAGTCTTAGGATTCCAGATATTTTTGTGTGTGAGACTTTTCCTATTGATGTTTGCAAAGCACCTACATTCACTTTGCAATCAGATGGTAAAGAGACAGGAAAATGAAATATCCCCAGATTTTTCAGTTAACATATCAATGGAAAGAAATGCCCATCTTGAGTCTAACAGACAGAAAGCAGAGTTGTCTGTGTGTCAGTGATCCCTCCTCCCACTCCCAGCATTAGTCGGTATATCCTAGTCCCTGAAGTCTCACCAAGCAACGGGTGTCACAGATTTCACTGCTTGGAAATCTGTGCACAAGTATCTCACTGTTGGCAGCTTCTGGCTCCCTACAGGCGATCCTAAAGCTTTAAGGGAATTAAAAATACCTCACAAAGGGCCCTCTAGTGGAGATTCTGAAAACAATGTGTGGGCATCATAAAAAAAAAATGTGAACTTCATTGGAAAATGTGAAGAGAGTGGATGTTATGTGCTCCTACCACAAATATGATAACGACGTGAGGTAATCCATTTGTTAATTTGCCAGATCTAACCATTCCACAATGTATACGTACTTCAGAACATCATGTTTTCCATGATAAAAGCATACAGCGTTATCTTTTCATTTTTAAAAAATTAATCAGTATGGAGAAAACTTTTTAAAAAGCCTTTCACTTCACAGCTCTCACATGAGCCAGGATGCCAATGAGTTGCCAAATCCCCATGCCCCACCTCTGCCTCTTACTTTGCCCTCATCTGTTGCAAAATACAACCACAATATGAATTCTTTTATGTTTTTCAGGACACCATTGAGATCACGGGAACTTTTAAACACCGCAAAGTGACCCTGGTGGAGGAGGGCTTTAACCCTACTGTCATCAAAGATGCCTTGTATTTCTTGGATGACACAGCAAAAATGTATGTGCCTATGACTGAGGACATTTATAATGCCATAAGTGCTAAAACGTTGAAACTCTGAATATTCCCAGGAGGATCACTCATAACATTTGCAGGAAGAAACTGAATGGACCTAGTACAGCCACTTGATATTATCCGACATTAATTTGATTGAAGATGGTGAAGTACAATATTGTTAGGAGATTATGCGTATGAATATAGTGAGATTTTTAGAAATACACCTGAACCTTTGCACGTGAAAAGATTTAGATATAATTATTTTTCAATGTGCACCTACTGTTTGTATTTGCAAACTGAGCTTGATGGAGGGAGGATGTTATTTTTTAAAAAATATAATAAATTAGATGAACACTAACATTTGAGATGGCACTGTCTCTGTATTCTTTCCTGACTTTATTCTAAATGCAAAACCTGTGTCAGTTATTCCAAAGCCTGACAGCCTCATTGGCAATGTTTCATAGGTGCCCCCATTCATAATGGAAATTGCATTCTAGGTAAAAATGGCAGCAAGGGTGAAGGTGGGGTGAGGGGTGGACAAGCAATGGAAAACCCAGTGGAAAGCCAACTCCAGGGTAAGGAGGTCAACTCTCCCCTCCCAGAAGGGTCCTGGCCACCATGTACAAGCAGCAGTTCCCACCAGGTGTTAATGCCATCTGTAGCCCTGACAGAAACCTAAGCCTATAGCTTCAGAGTTGTCTACATAAAAGATGGTCAATATATATTTTTAGCTATATCAAGTGTTGCAAACTCAAGTGGCTTTAGGATCTATATAGATAATATGGAAGAGAGAGGCAGGTCACAAATGAATGTGGCAAACTTGAAGTTTAGTGGACAGCCACCAAACTTCAGTCAGCTGCATTGTCATGTGAGAATATAGGTCAGGGACTGCTGGGATCTACTAATTATTCAGAAAACAGAAATCCAGATATTTATGTGACTCTCCCAGTTTTTAAAATCTGAAGTCTCAAATTTTTTTAAAACTTCCATACTTCCCAAACAAAACTTATCTGTGGACCAGATAAGTCCCAGCTCTCCAGTTAGCACCCCAATCCCACAAGCATGTGTCCCACGCCCCTCAGGCTGGAACCAGTTTTACTCTATAGTCAGACTCCTGACTGTGGAGCCTGTTCAAGGACTTACGAGACCTTCAGCATGGCACAGGAGGCTTCAGAAAATTCCAAGGAGCTCTTCTACACTCAGCTGCCTCCCTCCTTGGGTATACATCCTTTACCTCTGCATGTTATCAGCTGCAACAGAGTTCCAGGAGCAGATCCTTGGTGGCAGCACTAAAGACAACATGTTCCTTATCTAGAGCCTATCTTAGGCATGGGAGCATCAGGGTCACTGAATCCACATTCGGAAAGTGTGACCCAAGTTTGCTACTGATTCTCTAGAATTTTCCCTAGTGGAGTTTCCTTCCCTAGAAGACATCTTCAGATGACCATAAGCTGGTAGGAAATTCCAATTCTCTCCCAAAATAGTCTACATAAAGCTCCAGGCAAGCATATTTATTATCCTCTCCAACACCGTAGTAGCAATTTTTTTTTAACTTTCTCCACTCTTTTAGATGACGTCTAAGAATTATTAACAGACTCCTTGCCCCCACTCATTATGCCTAACAAACATTTTCTTTTCTTTTTTTTTTTTTTTTTTTTTTTTTGAGTTGGAGTCTCACTCTGTCACCCAAGCTGAAGTGCAGTGACACACTCACAGCCACCCCAGCATCGACCTGCTGGGCTACGGCAATGCTTCCGCCTCAGCCTTCCAAGTAGCCAGAACTACAGGGGAGTGCTACCATGCCCGGCTAATTTTTGATTTATTGTAGAGACAAGGTCTCACCAAGTTGCCCAGGCTGGTCTTGAACCCGCGGGCTCAGGCAATCCACTCGCCTTGGCTTCCCAAAGTGCTGGAAATACAGACTGAACCAAACATCTTCTTAATGCTCTTAATGTGCATAAAGGGCTTAAGAATGGTCTATGGAAAATTCTGGGTATGCTGCCTCTTTATGAATTTTGCCAATAATTTAGACTCATTATTACTTGTGAGTCAGCACTGGGGATTTTTACAAAATTCTCTCTTCCTTTGAGAATTTGAACCCAAGTAATAATGTTATTGAGTATCCCGTTGTACAGTTGTGTTACATGGAATTGTATCAAAGTGAATCAGGTTGTCTGCTGAGGTCATGTTAGATCAGTGTCATCGTTCTTTGTCAAGGGGTATCTCTTGAATTGAGAGATCAGGATGTACACCATTAGCTAGGACATTAGTATTCCATTAACTAGAACCTGCTTGGTTCAGATTTCCTTTGACCCATGTTTTAGACCTTTCGGTTGGAAACTCAGAAACCCATGCCCTCACGTACATTCCCTCCCCCTGACCTCTGACTCCCAGCCTAATGGCTTCCTCAGTCTCTCATTTCCCCATATCTCCCTGGTCTGGCCAGGTACCACAGCTTCACTGTGGTGGATAGAGGCTCCAGCATTATAGCCTCAACTCCTGAGGTATGCGTATATGTAAGCAAAATGAAACCATCATCTTTGAGAGATAATCAACTTTGAAGACTGATTTTTCTCTTTTGAACAGGTCAGAAATTGTGCCCATAGAAATATCTGTACATGACATTTGAAAGTACAAATGGGCCGGACGCGGTGGCTCAAACCTGTAATCCCAGCACTTTGGGGGGCTGAGGCGAGAGGATTGCCTGAGCCCAGGAGTTCGAGACCAGCCTGGGGAACTTGTCTCTGCCTCGTCTCTACAATAAATAGAAAAATTAGCCAGGCGTGGTAGCACGCGCCTGTAGTTCTGGCTACTTGGAAGACTGAGGCAGAAGAATGACCTGAACCCAGCAGGTTGATGTTGGGGTGGCTGTGATGCTGGGGTGGCTCAGCCTGGACAACTGAGTGAGACTGACTCAAAAAAAAAAAAGAAAGTACAAATGGATTTTTTTTTTTTAAGCTGATATTCATATAAGTCATTAAACAGGGCTATTTCAAATGTATTGTTTGGAAATTCATAATCAGTGTATAGATTGAATGCTACAGGCACCAAAATAATTTGGGGGTAAGACTAGGAAATGTCAGCATCTGAAATGAAAGCTAATGAGAATCAGTATAGAAGTGGATAAGATTAGCTGGGCATAGTGGTATGCACTGTAATCTCAGATACTCAGGAGATTGAAGTGGGAGGATTGCTTGAGCCCAGGAGTTCAAGTCCAGTCTGGGCAACATAGTGAGTCTCTATCTCAAAGAAAAAAAGGGGGGGGCAAAAATAGATAAGATTAATTAGCCGGGCTTGGTGGCTCAGCCTGTAATCCCGCGTTTTGGGAGGCTGAGGTGAGTGGATTGCCTGAGGCTGTGGGTTCGAGACCCACCTGGGCAACTTGGTGAGACCTCATCTCTACAATAAATCAAAAATTAGCCGGGTGTGGTAACACATGCCTGTAGTTCTGGCTACTTGGAATGCTGAGGCAGAAGGATCGCTGGAGCCCAGCAGGTCGAAGCTGCGGTGGCCAGGAGCGGCCACTGCACTCCAGTCTGGGCGATGGAGTGAGAATCCAACTAAAAAAAAAAAGATTAATCAATTACAGTGACCCACCCTAAGAGATAATTTGTTAAATGTGGTGTCCGTTCATATGTCCACTCTATAAGCATTTGGTAGGTGCCTGATATGACCCAAGAGATGTGCTCAGCAGGGAATTCTGGGTCCCACCTTCTAGAGTTGGAATAGGAGTTTGCATTTCTAGCAAATTCCAGGTGAAGCTAATCCCAAAACCCAGGCCCACCTCACTCCAATCAGATAAAAATTTCTGGGAGTGTGAGCCAGGCATCAGTGTTTCCTAAAGACCTCCAGGTGATCCCAGTATACAGCAAACTTCAAGGATCACTGGTAGAGAATGAGGGGCAAGTTTTAAACTCTTGACAAAGATTTTCTTCTTGACCAAGAAGAAGATTTACTTCTTCTTAAGTAGGCCTCAACCTAGGCCTATTAGGACTTGGACAAACATTAACATAGTTTCTAACAGCTCAAGACTGCATCCCTAACATGATCCCAGACCCCCTTAAAGTCCCTACCTGAGAAAACTCAGGGCTGTGAAAAGAACTTACTGTTTGTTTCAGTTAACACCTGTTGTTAGAGCCCCTGACTCACTCTCTGCAGAGGGGTAGTAGCCTTACTTCAATAAAGGATAGTTAACAAATCCAGAGGGTTTTCACATACGCTACTTCCTACTTTTTGTAAATTGTCACATTTCCTGACTCTACCAAGTCCCTGCTAGGCCCCTCCCTATTCTCCCATTCTCCCCTGAAAATGCACAGTCACCTTTGCACAAATTCAAGTTGAGTTCAGTTCACACTAGGCTCATTTCTCTATTGCTGTAGTATATTAGTAAGTAACATCAACCCTTATGACTTGTTTTGGCTTTTTTTTAAGTCAGAGTCTCACTCTGTCTTCCAGGCTGGAGTGCAGTGGCACACTCACGGCCACTGCAGCCTTGACTTGCTAGGCTCAGGTGAACTATCTGCCTCAGCCTTCCAAGTAGCTGGAACTACAGGCGCATGCTATGACACCTGGCTAATTTTTAAATTTATTTTAGAGAAAAGGTATTGCCAAATTACCAGTGCTGGTCTTGAACCTCTGGCTCAGGCAGTCCTCTTGCCTTGGGCTCCCAAAGTGCTGGGATTACAGGCTTAAGGCACCGCACCTGGTCAACCGTTATGACTTTAACTAGTGTCCAGTTTGGCTTTAATACTCTTCATTAACCAACTAAAGATCTACCTTCTATTTTCTGAAAAGGGAAGAAAATGATTTTTTGGCTTCTGAACTAACCAAGAGCAAGCTGCCTGTAAGCATGAATTTTATTTGACTACAAGGTTCAGGAAAAAAATGGAAAAAGGCACAAGTTCCAAACTTAGGGAGAAAACATTTAAATGTTCTGGATGAGGCTGGGTGTGGTAGCTCACACCTATTAACCCAGTACTTTGGGAGGGTGAGGTGGGAGGATCACTGAGCCCAGAAATTTGAGACCAACCTGGGTACATAGTAAGACCTTGTCTCTAAAAAGAAAATTAAAAAATTAGCAGGGTAGGGTGGTGCACGCCTGTAGTCTCGGGAGGCTGAGGTGGAAGGATCTCCTGGGCCTGGGAGGCTGAGGCTGCAATGAGCTGTGATCGTCCCACTGCACTCCAGCCTGGGTCACAAAGTGAGACCCTGTCTCAAAAAAAAAAAAAGAATGAATGAATGAATAAACCAACAAGCAAAAATGTTATTGAGGACCAGAGGGGCCTGCTGCACTGTGACCTCCTGATCAAGTCCAACCTTGAACAGCGTGGTGTAGTGGAAACAGCATGGGCTTCGCTGAAAGCAGGAAGACCTGG